CAAGTGGATGAGTCAAGTTCAAGAAGGGACAATGAGGAGGTACTGGATCGAGGTGATGTTTTTCATTTTAAAGGAGGGACGATAGTGGTACTGAATGGTGGTGGACTGCTTAAGGACTTGATAAAAGAGGTGCATGACACTACTTGGGATGGTCATCTCGGAGTTTAATGGATCTTAGCTCTACTATCCAGTGTATATTTCTGGCCAAAGGTGGAAGATGACATTAAGGCATACGTGAAAACTTGCCCTGTTTGTGAAGTGGATAAGACTGAACATAAGAAGGAAGCTAGTTTGTTGCATCCCATTCCTATTCCAGAACCGTAATGGTTGTCAGTAAGTATGGACTTCATTTTGGGTTTTCCTAAAGTTGATGGTATGGAATCTATAATGGCAGTAGTAGACAAATTTTTGAAATACTCAATCTTTATTGTTGTTCCTAGTTTATGTTTGTCTGAAGTTGTTGCCGAGTTATTTTATATGAATGTGGTTTCTTATTTTGGTATTCCAGCTCACATTGGGAGTGATAGAGATACTCGAATCACGGGCAAATTCTGGACAGCTTTGTTCAACATGATGGTGACTAATTTAAAATTATCTACTACGAATCATCCACCAAGAGATGGACAGACAGAAAGAGTTAATCACTTGCTAGAAGAACACTTGAGGCATTATGTGACGGTGAGCCAGCGGAATTGGGTTGCATTGCTTGACACTGCACATCTTTCCTACAATCTTCATAAGTCGTCAGCACCTGAGATGAGTCTGTTCCAAAAAAATTTGGGTAGACAGCCCATCACACCACTAGACGTTGCCAAAACAAAGAATGAGGGAAAATGTCAAGCAACGTCCAGGGTTGCAATGGACATGCTTGAAATGATATTTATGGCACAAGACAACATGTGCAATGCTCAGTGGCACATGAAGAAGTATGTTGATCAATATTGTTGCTCACTAGAGTTTTGTGTGGTGACCTAGTGTTGCTGAAACTCACACCCGAAATCTGGAAATAGATTGTGAGTAAGACTTGGCAACATGGTTGGATGCCTAAGTATGACAGCCCATTTGAAGTAATACATCGAGTGGGTGAAGGTGCTTGTAGACTGAAGTTGTTAGAAAGGTTAAAGATTGTTCCTACTTTCCATGTTAGTTTCTTGATACCTTACTTCGTAGACGAAGATGATCCGGACAGAAACAGGTTGAAAAGGGCTCCACCATCTATTCCAACACAGTTTGATGTTGATATAGAAAAGATCCTTGATCACCGAGTTGTTGGCACTAGTAAGTAGAACACAAGACAGAGTTCTGGGTATACTGGTAAGGCAATAGTTTGGCAGATGTTGTTTGGGAGAAGGTGAAGGACTTGTGGTAGTTTGATGACTGAATCGATGACTATCTCAAAATAGTCTTGATGAGAGCATCGAGTTCAAGAGGTGGGGGTGGTTTGTTAGACCCTTGGTCTAACTAAGCAAGCGTCGGACAAGCATGGCAAGGATTTGGGCATTGGTCTTGGCATATGCGTAGGTCAAACAGTGCATCTGTGCAGCTAAGTGTTAGTGTGCAGCAAGGTGTTCAAGATGCTTGGGTGTTGGCAAGGTAGCTTGGACATGCAAAGGCAAAGACAGGTGTATGGAACCTTTGGGGCATACGTGTTGGTAGTGGCATCGTCAAGGCAAGGTAGTGTGTTGGCTTGAATAGGCAAGGCTGTGGGACTTGACGATTGAAAGACAAAGACAATTCAAGTGCTGACACGAGTTGGCAGATTTGATGAAATAAAACTAAGTGTTGGAAGCAGGCTGAAATATTCTAAGTGTTGGGAATGGGCATTTTCAGCTAAGGCATTGAAGGAGCATGTGCAACGCACGTGGACTTAATGTATTTGAATTGTAATGTGGCTGTTTGAATATAGTTGTTGAGACTTAGTTTAAATCTGGCCATAACATGTGTTACACACATGATAAATGTTATTGCTTTTGTAACTGCTTGTAACTGCCTTGTGCAGATTTTTATAAGGGGCTGAAATTCGTCTAAGGTATTCAGAGAGTATTTTGTGCCTTAGAAAAATTCGTGAGGCTCTTCCTTTGTTGAGTTTTGATATTAATAAAGGTTAGGATTGTTCCTGTATGTTGCTGAGTGTTTGTTAATACTATACGCTTCCAAAAGGTGAGACAATCTTCCAGACTTAATCAAATATGTGAGGGTTGTGAGGCTAAAGTTTGCAAGCTTTGTAAGTTGTGGTGCAGTGGTGTAAGGCGAAAAAATCACCCTCGTTTCGATGGAAAGCAAGTGTGTGATGCAACAAGGGAATAGTAACCTTAGGGCAGTTCAAAAAGAAGATTCAGGCATACTTAGATTATGTCTCATCGAGGAAGATGAGCTCATTTGGTGGGGGAAGTTTGTTAGACCCTCAACTTGATAGTTAGAGTGACTCAGGCTTGTTTAGGGATTTACATGATGAACCTAGTCAAGACCTAATGACTTCAGCCAAGGTTAAGTTCAAGTAAAGAAGACCTTGGCATTGGCGTGGTTAAGGCATGCAAGGAAAGACGTGGCTAAGACATTACAATGGTTGGACAAGCTAAGTCATGCGAGGAAAGACGTGGCTAAGGCATGACAAAGGTTGGGCAAGCTAAGGCAAGGCAAAACTGTGATCCTGACATGGTCGTGGCTAAACAAGTTTGAATGTTAAGTGTTGGGCAAGGGCGGCGACTCATGAAATTAGACCACAATGGCAAGCTAAGCGAGGAAAGACAAGCCCACATGGCTGGCATGTGAACCGGCACGAGATTTGGCGGCTGAAGGATGATTTTGGCACCAAAGTTGAAGGGTGCTCGCTTATGCCTCGCACGTGCATGGGCAGTTGGGCAGTTTTGGTAGTTTCTAGCTGTTGTGGATTAGTTAGCATTGTAGATAAGATTATTTGTTTAAAATTCAAATTTGGCCTATAAGTTAGGGTTGTCAACTGAAATACTAGGCATGTGTCTGGCATTTGACTCGGCGTTGTGGCCTATTTTAAGGCACAAGCAGACCAGTCTCATGGGAGTGTCTTTCGTCAAATTTTGTAAGGCTTAAACATTTGTGTGCTTCTTTGTGGAACGAGTTTAATATAAAGTTGGGACTGGTTCCTGTAATGTGCTTGTGTGTTCTGATTTTTTATGATTGTCTAGTGTTGATCTATAACATGAGTGAAAAGAAAAAGAGTGTTTAGTCTAAGTGGCTTAGACACAATGAATCTGGACACAAGTAGTTACAAAAAGTGTAAGGGGCCTGATCCTTAAACTCGACAGATGGCATGGTGGTGGCAAAGGTTGGCATGAATGACTTTGTCAAGGGTCTAGGTGCAGGTTGAACCAATCATGTGGGAAAGATGTTGGTGTTACTACGTTGATGACAAACAAATTGACAAGGCAGTGCCATGACTTGACATTGGCTGTGGCAAGGACGTGGGTTGTGGCATGTCATGGGCTTTGGCTGACGTCAGACATGGGCAAGTTGGCATGTGTAAAATGGCATTGTCTGGTTCAGTGGGGGAAAATCAAGTTGAGCTAAATTAAAAATATAATAAAAGGCAAAGCTAAGGCAGAAAGAATAAAATGAATGGCACAAGGGAAACAAAAGTTAGCATGGCCAAGGAAAACTCAAGCAACGGCAAGGCGTTGGCAGTGTGTCGGCAGTGGCATGTGTGGCCTTGTCCAAGTTGGCTATCAAAAGAAATGGCTAGGAAAATCCTAGACAGTCTATTGGCACAAAAAATAGGACATGAAGCTGGAAACAAGGGGCGGAATTGGGTAGCACATGGCACATGCCAAATACATGCGGCGGTTACTTTTTGTAACTACTTGGGTCCAAATTCATTGTATCTTTGTAATAGCTTTTGTAATTTGAATTTTAAATGCCTTATCAGTTGGGGATGTCAACTGAACTTCAGCCTTGATTTTCCTTGATCAGGTCAAGTGTTGGACAGGTGTCGGCAAGTTGTTTATTGTAAGCCAAAGGCTGCCACATGGTCTATAAATCTGCAGCCTTGACCTTGGACAAATGAGTAGTTAAAGAGGGAAGAAATAAGTCTAGAATTTTACTAAGGACACTAAGAATAAACGCGAGGGTTTCAAGATTTTTTGTGGGCAGTAATCAACTAGTGGCTGTGCCTTAGTTGAAGTCGAAGTTGTGGCAGAATTGTTGTCATAATGAATGAGGGTCCTTTGTATATTTTTGAATTAATATAAAGGTTAGGTTCTCCCGTACATGTTCTATTCATTTCAGTTCTGGCATCAAAACTAATTTAAGGCCAAGCAGTAGGCGTTGTCGAAAACACAGAGACTTGACTGCAAGCAGGCACGTCTGGTAGCTGACCTTGTTGGATCCTTAGCATCCTCATGAAAGGGTTTCAGAAAACTCACATGAAATGAGGGTGAATCTTCAATTTAACATTACGTTTATACACTCTACCAAGTGTATTAATCTAAATTTGCACTAATAAATAAAATTATCATTATTTACCAAAATATAATAATCTAGCTGAAAATATTGGCATAATACATAAATATACACTCAGATTTCGCCTCAATTGGAAAGTACACACTCTAACTTTGAGAGTTCACGTCTAGACACCTCAACTGATGACTAAACACTCCAACTCTCCCCTCATTATGACTCATGGACTCTCGATACTAACGTGACACGTAAATTTTGGAGGTGTCTAGATGATCAGTATGTAAATTGAAATGTTCACAGGGAAGAAAAATTGAGGAACTTATTAGATACCAGATACAATGGTATCTAATAAGGTTTATGGACAATTTTTTCTTCCCCGCTTCCTTATGTCTAGTATTTAGACAAAGTGTATAAATGTGCACTCCCAAAGTTGGAGTGCTTACTTACCAGTTGAGTCCAAGTTTGAGTGTTTGTTTAAGTATTATGACGAACATTTTCTTTTCCCCACTACTACTAATTACGATTAGCATTTTAGTTTGAGGATAGTAAAGTAGCAAAACATAACTTGCCTGCATCTTGTTGAGACTTTGGTGAAGCAAATAGGCCTGGAAATGGAAAACCTGCCTCCCCTGGTATTACAATCTTTTCCAGACCAAGGTTAATTATTGACTTCTTCCCTTCAGCTAAAGTTCTGCTGCCTTCTAGCCTCTTCAAAGCCAAATTGATATACAAAGTCAAATAGATGAGAAGTTTATCAGCCGAGCTTTTATAATCAAAGTTCTTGAAGAAGATATTTGCCCGAAAGAATGTGATTGCTTCATCCACGATATCTGACGTTGCATCTTCTAGAAATTATATATATGATGAGGAATATCACTCTTAAAGTATGTAAGATATTGTCACCGGAAAGATGAGATGCACCAAAGCTAACCTTGTTCTGCATCAGAATCAGGTTCATTTATATGACTTTTCAGAGGTAGTAAAGGACATCCACAAGCTTTGCTAACTCCTTCCTCGTCAACAAAACTTGAATGGTAACCCTGCGATTAATAGACTAAATTATATTTTCGTATTGACAACCATGACCATAATTTGGTTTTATCCGCCCCCATCAAAAGAATTGTAAGGAATTAAATCAAAGCTCATACCATGTTCTTGCACGCAACTTCCTAGCCAAAGATGGAAAACCAATCTGAAGAGATAATTATCGCAAGCATTAGTATTAGGCAGCTCGTATCAATTCAAAAGGAGAAAGAAACAATATTTAGCTTATAGGTTCACTTCATCTTGTTAAACTTTAGAAATTGATGAACACCAGTTGTCCCTTCCAAGAATAATGGTTTGTGGGTGTCAAAATTAAAAAAAAATATTGTGATATTTGGGGTTTGAACCCAAAACTCCTACATTCAAATGGGCATTCATTACCACTACACCAAATGCATAACTTTTGTCAACGGTGACCAACTTTAAATATATATCCTTTAAATGTAGAATTTGACATTCATATACAATGTAATTTTCCGACCCAAGGTGTCCACTTAAGCTAGCTATAAGCATTCAGAATCCTCAACAAAATACAAATGCTTTACATGTGGAATTCAGTTAAACTGGTCTTGGGCCTAACTCAAACCCCAAAAGCTAGATTCATAAAGAGTTGGATTGTCTAGGCCTTATAAGGAGCCCATGGATTCACCGATATGGGATCCATTCCATTCATCAACACCAAATCAAATGCATTTACCAAATGTAGATTTGAGGGAATGGTTGGACCGAGAAAAACGGCAGTCTGTTCCAGATCATTGAAAAAGAAAAAAACAAATGAAATGCAAAAAAGAGTTGAATATAGATTAGTAAAACAGAATTTGATCTTCAAATAAGAAAATACAAGATCAGAATTCCAGATTAACATTCAATTAATTTTTTGATTAAATAACACAAGCACAAATGCAAATATGATGCCCCAAGCCTATATTTAATAGTAAAAATTAAAGATATGGAGATGATTAATTAGGCCTTTTGAAGGAGTAACTGTATTACAGATATATATTGATAAAGTTCCGTTTTAGCAGGATCTGGATTATGCCAATGAAGACTTGGTCTATTACAGATTTTTTCTTTTTGTTACTACTCTAATATTCTTCATCTTAAAAGTGTGTATTTCAGGGGTGTTAATTTATGCATTGCTGACATCAATTTTATTGGATCCAAGTCTTACATTTTTGGCTAATTAAAGTGAATCAATATTAAGTCTAAAACTAAATGAATTAATTCAAATTCAATTATATTTTGGGATATATTATTAAGTTAGGTATTGATGAGTTGGTATTTTACCTACTCATTGGACTCAAATTCATGAATTATTATTGACTTGTGTTTAATGTTAATTGAAGGGGTTTTAGGCACTAGTTCTCTTGGATGCATACATTCTTTAGAAAAAACAAGTTTGATGAATTTGAAGCTGAAAATCACGAAAGCACACCGGTGAAGGAATTGGCGTCCCGCAAGAACAAACAGGCATCTCACCGGCCAAATGGCGGCTTGAAAGGAGCAAAGATGCCTTAGAATCGGTGTTGCAATTGGCGCAATAAAATGGTTGATCGGCAATTCACTGATCCAGCACTAATACTCCTGTGACAATTGAAATTCTAAACGAGGAGGTGATTGGCGCTCCACCATTTTATATCGGTGTTCCGCCGGTCCAACACAAGTCTAAAAACAGAACTGAAGGGCAAAAACTTAATTATGGTAATTAGTGTTCCTTTTGGAATGTTCCGAGGATAGAATAGGAATTTGTGCAATTATGTACCATTATCATCTTTCCAATTAGGAATAGAGAGGAGAGACCTATTTTTGTGAAAAATATATATACAGTATAGTGAATACCTTCTTAGCTTGTAGAGGAAGAAACCTCATATTTGTGTTGATCCAAGCTTGGAATTCAAAGTTTGTTAATCGAATTAGCTTGGAATGGAGATTTTTTATATGGGTATTGGCTATATTTCTTTTATGAGTAACTAGACCCTTACCTAGGGGTATGTACTAGATGGGGGTGTAAAACCCCGAATGGATATTGATTAATCGGCTGTAATATTGATTGTATGACATGGATCTATTGTTGTCTTAAAGTTTTAATTTAAAAATAAGCAATTGCAAACATTGATGGAGCTCTCTAACACCGTTTTGGCATGGAAAAGCAAAATAGAGTTGGGTAAGACTCAATAGCAAGGATTTGTTAAAATTACTTTATGGGTTTGAGCCAGTGATGGAATAATCCGATTAATTTCTCATTTAATGATATGAGCTAGGGACAGTCTATCTACTCATTGGTGTTTTGTTTGAAAGGGTTTGGAGTACCTCAGGCACAACTTTCCACTCATTTGCAAAAACAATTACGTCAAATGCAGATGTCAAACTCACAATATCTCCAATCCTGCGAACGCAATGGTCAAATGCCCAGGCCTCCGCGAATGCGGCCCAAGGCTCACGAGCACGGAGAACAAAGCATGATGCACTAGTAAGGTTGCATCAGATCAACTTTAAGTTGGAACCCCGTGAACGCAAGCAAACTATGCTACCCCACCAAAATGGATATTCCGGAATCAACTGAATCGACGAAACAATCAGTGGAGGTTGTTTTGATAGAATATTGACCCAAGTCAACACTTACACAAAGCTACCAAAACAATAAATCACCAAATGCCACAAAATCGCACTGGTCACTTTGGGATATGAACCAAAAGTTGTTCTAGATCAAACTCGACATTACGGATCTAATCGCACTAACATAATCCTCATTCGGGTGTATTTACCAAGAATATTGACCGAACTCAAACTCTTGCCAAACTTTCAGAAACTTCATGCCTAACGGCTCAAACTCACATCAAAGGCCTCGGGACCCAAACCAACCATGTCACTAATCCAAAAAGGACCTTCCAGAGTAGATGAAACTGACAAAACTCTCATATGACATCAGATCTCTGAATATTGACCAAAAGCAGTTGTTTCACTTAAAAATAGAGGTGCAAGAACCGAATCGAAAAAAGTGTTATTGGTTTATTGTTATTGGGTTAACGATTATTCAATGGTTTTATAAAAAAAAAGTTATTGGGTTATCAGTTCGATATTGGTTTGTTAATATGGGTTATTGGGTTAACCGATAACCCATTAAGAATATAAGAATTTACTATTTTAATTTTTAGTCATGCATAAATATCAAACAAAAAATATTAATATAATTACTATATTAGACTATAACTATAAGTAGGGGTGTGCAAAAACCGAACCGACCGATAAACCGAACCGAAAAAAGTGTTATTGGTTTATTGCTATTGGGTTATTGGGTTAACGGTTTCCTAATGGTTTTATAAAAAAATTTATCGGGTTATCGGTTCGATATTGGTTTTCAATATTGGGTTATTGGGTAAACCGATAACCCATTAAGAGTTAAGACTATAGTAATTTAATACTTTTACATATACAACATACATATTAATAAATATTAATCTCAAAGTTATGTCTTAGTCATTTAGCCATCAATTCATACTTCGCTGTAACTTTGAGTTCACAATTTTACATTATACAAATCATCAAAACCTAAAGTAAGAATCATATTCCTCTTTATTTCTCTTTGTGTTACACATGTATAGTTCTTTTCATGTTTGTTATTATTATTTCTATTTTATGAGCTTTTGTAAAGTAATATTATTGTCTTGTCGTGTCAAATTTATTAGAGAAGTCATATTTTGTTTTATAAGCATATTCTTATTGGTTAAACCGAAAACCGAACCGTTAAGGACCAAAACCGATAAACCAAAAACCGATAAAAAATTATCTTATTGGTTTGTTATTGGTTTAGCGTATTTAAAAACCAAAAACCGATAAACCGAACCGATAATTCATAAAACCGAACCGATAATTTATAAAACCGAACCGAACCGACCGATGAACACCCCTAACTATAAGGACCCTACACAATTAACACTACTTATAACTCTGGCCTCTGCATTTACCCTTTAGGTAGTATTACTTTGGTCTTTATTATTGCAATTTAGTCTGATTTGTTTGTTTCGATGTATGCCTGTATCGCTTCAAATTATTGGACAAGTCATATATTTTTTTTGAAAGAATTTTCTTATTTGTTAAACCGAAAACCGAATCGTTAAAGACCAAAAACTGATAAAATGAAAATCAATAACAAATAACTTATTAGTTTGGTTATTGGTTTAGCATATTTAAAAACCAAAAACCGATAAACCAAACTGATAATGCTTAAAATCAAACTGAACCGACCGATACACACCCCTACTTAAAAACCTCCAAAAAGGGGGAAAACTCACACAGCTCACTTCCGACCACCTCGGAAAGCGTGCCACCCATCCCAACACACCATAAGTACTACAACAAAGCTGGGAAAGGAGCAACACTGTAAAATCACACAAAAACACGCAAATGACCAATAGGGTCACTACAACTAACCACTCCCAGCAAGCAAGACCATATGGCACCATGCTTTCATCACAGTATAAATGGTGAAAAATGTAAAGTATCATTGGTAAACCATTTAACACTGTTGAAAGACACAATTTTCTTGGATTATAATGGATCTCTAAAGCAATACATAAAATTGCTCCAGTAGTTTAGAATCTAGAATAGTTGAGTGATTTTTGTAGATGAAAGTCTTACGTTGAATAATTTCATTGGTATAAAATAAATCTTAATGACTTTGCTAGATAAATTTTATAGTTCAATGACTTTTTAAGATATCAACTCGTCAAAATTCTGTTTGATGTATTCCTTAATTTCTCCAAGGCTTCTGGTTTGGTGGCAATTAATAGTGAGTAAAGGTGTGTGTTTTATGAGTTTTGTGAAAGTGGATTTACCTATCAGGCACAATTAAGCACCAAAAGACAGCCATTATAAGTGCAAACCCCTTCTTCATAAGACACCAATTGGACTTCAAAGTATTTATGTTATGTCCTATTTGCAGTACAAAACTTCTAGTCTCAAATACTCACCCTACCAAAGAAGGTTGTCCAGCTTGTGTCAAAGCACATTTAAGAGACTTGTATGGACTAGAGGAGTAGACAAAGACTGAACTCATAGCTCAGGAGGTGGAGTCAATATTTTGGACCTCTTCATTTGGAATAGAGTAGCTATGTGTAAATTGTTCTGAAACCTATGCAAAAAGAAGGACAAACACTTATTAAGATAATACAGCCTGTGAAGGCATGGTAGATGGTGCGAAAAATTCTCAAAGAAACTACTTATCTGGATCAACTAGGAAAGCAGGAGCATGACCTCATACAAATTCAGTAATTCTCAATCAAGTGGATGTATAATCATCTCAGAGGTGATTTTCCAAAAGCAACTTGAAGAAATCTTGTAAGTTGTATGCAACAACTATAGATGATTGTTTATCTTGTATCCTGCCGCCATACATGGCAGGTTACAAACTAATGATAGTGTCTAGATGGACAAATATAGAAGATCGATTGTGTCCTTTTGTGTGCTAGACATGATGAGACACTGGACACTTAGGGGGCATTTGAAATAGTTTAGTATAACCATTCTGTTACCTATTAGCTTATTTTGTTAGATTATGAGGATGAACTTAATGAAAACTTATGAGTTTGAAAGTGATTTTATTGTTCACTTTCATGAATTCCTCCTAGGATTTGCAAGAGGTAACCTTCGCCTTGAGGAATCTATTGGCTTAAGTATTATCGAAATTCGAATGTATTAGAGGTGAGTAGAATTTAAATTCTCATTATTGCATACAATTCTTCAATGTTTATGGTTACTTTATACGTTTCCCTGCCTTTCAATTCCTTGCAATTTCATTTTAGTTGCTATCAGCAGCCCATTTCTTTTCTTCACTTATCCTCTTATGGGGATCAAGGGTGCTCTACTGTTTATTACTAGTGTGACATTTGAACTTTTGATTTAGTACTTGTAAGTTAGAATTTTTTTTACCAATAAAACAATCTCTAGATTTTTTTCATAAGCCATAAAAAATTTCTCTGAAAATTAATCCATGGTATTTCATAAAGGGTTATTGTACACTATCACACTACAATAAAAACAACTTCTAACGGCAACAAATATACACGTTAACAAAGAGTGCTAAAGTCTTTTTTCGACATTAGTTAGTTTTGATTGGATCCAATGTCGCTATAGGCATTAAGGACATTTACAAAGAGTGTTAATTGCTGCTAAAAATACATATTTAGCGGTAATTAAGCTATTAACATTAATTAATTGTCACTAAAAATCATTTCAGATGTAGTGTCAATGCACATATCATTACCTCTTTCGTATGCCTTTTTGTCTTTTTTTTTTTGTCTTTCCATTGTCATATAGGCGCAGGTAACTAAAAAAAATAACATGAAAGAAAAGGAAGGAATAACTGAAATGGTTGCCTAAGGATAGTGGAATGATGAATAAATGTAGTAGGTTAAAATTAACTACATAAGTTAATTGTTTATGAACGTTGTGATTGTTCCAGTTGATCCTCAGAGCAAAGTAACTAGTCCAAGCATGGCTGAAAAGAAGATAGCAACAACATTAATTGTGGTAGCAGTTGCGGTGCTTGGAGTTTGGGCTTGTTCAGGAGGAGGTGAAGGCGAAGAAGGAGCATTGGTGTTGGTGTTGTTTGAGGAAGCAGAACCTTTATCATCATCTTTGGAAATTGCAGCTACAGCAGGTAGTGGTGGAGTAACAAAGTCCTTAGTCTCCAAGTGCACTGGAGGGGGAGGCTTGTACTCTTCTACTTCTTTTGGATCAAGGGAAGTTGTTATCACATCTCCTGGATTTATGTCTGGTATCCTATATGACTCTAGATTCCCGGTGCACAAGTTCCCTGTGGCAAGAAGAAAAATGTGATTTTTCTATCTACACAATTAAGTAGATTAGATAAATTTGAGTGTTGATTTACTTACTGGTGTACGCATTAGCAGTGCCTGGGTACTGCGTTATAATTCCATCCGCACCATAGTAAATGAGGTTATGGATCAACGAATATGGATCAGAGCTATAATCCATGTAAATATCTTGGAATTCATTTAGAACAGTTCCAGCGTAGACACTAACATTGGCCCAATGCAAACATTCAATAAGGTTGGTGAAGTTCAAAGTGAAACCCTCTCCTCGAAACTGCGTGTATAAGGAATGCTTATGTAAAAATACTGCATCTGCATGCTTCTTGATTTCCAATGCTGTCTCATTCGTTACGAATTCCACCTGTTTCTTAATGTGAAGTACTTTTTGGTAAGTCGGGATATCCTTGAATTTGTCCAGCACTGAACTTTCACCTGACATGATCAGAACCTTCTGAGTTGACTGCTTATCAAGTGTGGCGTTGCTCAAAGCAGTTGTGACTGCACCCACAACGTCAAGGCCCTTGTTGGCAAGGTAGGCAGCATTCTTTAACACACCCAAGATGCAGATATTAATAACTCTGAACTATATATATATATATATATGTATATGCACAATAGAGTAGAAAAGAAAATTACTTCTATGTTGATAAGAACTCCTGGAACAGCCTTTGCCTTGGCAAATTCCAAGAAATCTGAGAGAGTTACAAACTTGCCCACATTCTTGCGTGCTGGATCCCTTATCAAATCTCCATTAAATTCACTGAACATTTGAGCTGTGGCCCGGACCATATAAAATAAATAGAGAAAAGAAGAGAATTAGATTTCAGAAATCAAATCATGATAGTAATATTTGAAATATTATTGGTTGAAAGAGATGACTCGAATGCTCACGTTTTAAAGACAGAATTTCGTCCCATTTAAAATCGAAAGAGAAAATTCCCATAGAGGATTGAATTGAATCAACCTTAGCTGCTCGGCTCATGAAAGGTCCGGATGCAGTGGTGGTTGGGATGAGGTCAACTGAAGGTAAGCAGAATGCAACTCCGTCTTTTGTCATTTGGACAGAACAATCGATTATGTCAGCACCATCATTAACTGCTTTTTGATAGGCAAGATCTGTTGATCCTGGATACTCTCCATTGGCTCCGTTTGCAGAAATGATCAGAGCTGCCAATTAAATTTGCACAATAGAATTGAGATGTCATCTTTTTCAAAAGTAAAACAGGAACGCTATCTACTACTTAGTTCTTTCATTGCACAGAGAGATTCATTTCCTTACTAGGTACTTTCCTTGAAGCATTCTTACTTCCTGCCAAGCACGCTGCAACCAGAACGAGCAACAGTAAGCTTCTAGATTTGTACAAAATAAACTTGTATTTCCTCTTAATCTCAAGAGAAAAAAAATATATTCTTACCAATGGCCGTTGATGCAGATGTAGGGAAGTCTGTGACCACACCGTCAACAGCAAACTTAGAGTTGTCAACGAATTGCAGATACTCTCTTTGTACATCATAGCTGTAATTGTGAGGCAAATAGTTGTCATTTGCGAATCCATATGCAAAAACTTCAAGTCCTTGTTTATGAGCATCAGCCACTAAATTGGTACTAGGCTCTAAATAGCGAGCTTTATTGACTGGCCATATGAATTCTCTTGGCACAACAATTCCAGTAGCGAATGTCTTGATCATTGGCAACTTTGTTAATAGTGAAGCATATGGTTCATTTGTTGTGGGTTCAACTGCATTTCTATCAATGGGAAACTTGAACATTAGCTTCGTTTTGAGACCGTGCACAACTGGTCCCATGCTCTTCAAAAAACCAATCTCTGGAGACGATATGTAAGTGATATCCTTCTTTGTCTCCACAAGTTGCTTCATATGATCAAGTAAACTCAGTTTGTGCTGGTTGTAGAATGTCGCATACTGCAATACAGTTTAAGAAATTAATTACCAACAATAGCATTTAATCAAATGTTTCAACAATGAGAAAAAAAAGAACCTCGGCATTGATCCAGAGTAGAGCATTCCTGTTTTCTTCTAAATATAGGTCAGTTGGATATGGTGATAAAAAATCAAATAGATCTGTTCTGCTGAATATTGATTGTGTCACTGTAGAACAAGAACACAACAAAGTCAGGGTATTCGTAGTAGGATATATCGATTTTGATGCGTTAGTTGCGACGTACCAATTAATTTATCAAACATCTCATCACTTGTAAGGTCCAATGCAAACCATCCTTGAAGTTCTTTTCCATTAACAATGTAAGTTTTTTTACGATTAGGAAAAGCATCCGCTGCATTTGTTGTATTCTGTAGGTTTAATTGTGAGAGACAAAATCCATGTCCATCGCGACTCATATGAAGATCACATAGCAAAACAGTACCACCCTTTCCAAATATAATTGATTGACTATAAGCTAGTTCTGTTTGTGGGGGATAAAGTCCCGAAAATCCCCCATTTGCAACGACAAATGGTTCATCACCATGTAGAGTTAACCATGTATGCTTCGGAAGAGGCGGAACAGAAACAGGAACAGGAGGAATAGGAACAGGAACTGCAGCTTTTGGATCAGCTATAGTACAATGGATCATCAAGCATAATAATAACACATGTTTGATCATTTTCTTCCAATCCTGTCATTATATTTATTTAACCAAAAACAAAAGGTGATTAAGTTATATAATTTCCACTTCAAATTCAATAATGCAACCTTAACCATTTAATCCCTAATTTCAATAATGAGGTTTACTAATCTTAATCTTGTAACACCATTTGAAACAAATCTTCCTTAGAATACATAGAAACCCTTTTATATTTCTCCATTCCTTATCATATAATTCATAAGTTTCATCATTTCAATAATTTTATTAAATAATAAAATGACTAAAAATGAAACATCATTATAAATGTAAACATGCAATGACATATATATATAACATCAAGAATTAAGAAGAAAGCAAGAAATACAATTAACACTCACATGAATCTTGAGATCAAAGGAAGAAAGAAGCATTTCTCCCTTGAGTTTTACAAGGCCAAAAATTAAAGATAAAAATGAAAAAAAAAAAGATGAGGTAAGAAACTTTCAAAGAAATAAAAAGGGAGAGGAAATTTTAAATAAAATGGAGAGAATATTAAGAGGCTTTAATTAATTTTCTTTATCGCATATTTCGGACTAATATCTAGTTAGTTCTTATTTGTTTTTGGAATAATCGAGATGCC